GTCACATGGTATGGAATACCCCATTAGCCAGCTGAGCTGGCTGTCCTGATTATGTTCCCTCCCATCTTGTGTACCTAGCTCAGTCAGTAGGCATGGGAGCTGTCCTTGGACTAGGAGGGTACTTAGCAACAACTGAAAACATCAGTGTGTTATCAACATTCTCCTCATACTAAATCCAAAACACAGCACTAGCAAGAAATTTAACCCTATCCCAGCCGAAACCAGGACAACTACAGATAACATGAAACTGCAAAGCAGATTCACTGCCATCCAGTGTACATACTCCCATACAGCAATTGTGTATCTACAGTCGGGATCATTTACACTACTGCTTTCTTTGTAGTTCAGTAAGGAAAAAAGTGCTAGTATATTCCAGGGTATGTTCAGTAGATGTAATAAGAAAGAAAAAAGAAGGGGGGGAAAGGGGGGGGGAAGTTCACAGTTGAAGTTTTAACACACAGCTATCCAACATGTTTTTAAAAAAAAAGTAAAATACAAAACCAAATTTGAACTATCAAAATCCCTTCCCGCTATAATTTCGAAAAACCCAGAAAAATAAAAGACAGAAGACTATAAACAGATTTGTTACCTGTCCATAGTTGTCTATTCCAGACACTAATCTATTGAGATTTAACAAGTCAAACGATGACCTGAGTGCCTGACCAAGGGTTGTTAGACCTGAAGCCTGAAGATTTTTCAGTTCATTCATAAACGTTGCATGGTTTTCCTTCCATCCAGCCTATTACATAAAACAAAAAAGCTTATTAGTCACTTTAGCAACAAACTGCAATCAATTGCAAGTTGTTGTTTATCTCCCTTCCCACTAAAAGTTAGATTATATTCCTGATTAATGGATATGCTGCATCATTTACATGCTACACACACCTAACCCATGTATGCACAACTTGATATGAAACATACAGTTAAACTTATAATCAGAGACTCACAAAACACACACACTGTCAAGCATTTGAAAAAATTTGCAAATACCCAGCTCTTACCGTGAAGACCGCTGTGGAGGCAATGCAATTAATAGAAGTAGTTGGATTAAGCATGTTTTATTAGGAGAAACTGTCAAATTTGGAAATCAGAAATGCAACTGCCAAAGTGACAGCAATGATAAAACAACAATACAAACAGCATAATATTGATGCTTCTTCTGACATATACCCACCCCCCTTTCATTCTTTCCTCCATAGATCGAGGCTGGAAGGAAAGAAAGGATGCATTTGCAACGTGTACTAATGCAGGAGTTAAAAATCTAACAGTGACAGTTAAAAAGAAGAAAGATAAAGAAGTAATACTAACAGCGACTGCCATCTTTGCTTCCTAGTCGCATCCTCCCCCTTCCCACAATTTCCCCAAGCAGGAAGCAAGCAAGCATATCAATTTAGTAGAAGAAATATTTCAAAAAAAAAAAAAAAATCACAAAGCAGCTATTTTTAATATTACATGACTCCTGCTCAACTTTTCCATTTTTCTTGTACTTCCTCCCACCCCAGCCCACCAGGCTCCGTTCATGCCTTTTAATGTACTATCAAGCACTCTCTGTCACTTCTGCATTACAAACCCCCTGCCTTGGTATTTCAACCGCAAGCCCTCTAACTACACCCTTCTGCCCTTACTTGCCAGTGTAAAACTTTCTGTGGAGTAGTTGCAAACACTCCATTTAACACAGAACCAAATCACTGTTTAGAGAGTCTCAGTATCACAGCTTGAAATTTTGGAGGTCATGAAGAAAGTTATTATTGCTGACAGCCTACAGAACATTCAAAGGAACAGCAAAAAGTGATGAGGATGGATCAGTCTTACGAAGCACTCTGGATCCTGTGGTAAGCAAGGCTAACACACATCAGTATCAGTTGTGATTCATATACCCTTCTCTTAAAAAGTGGTAGGCTGCAGAGTTCAGAAGCTATTTTAGAAAACACTACCTCACAGGGAATCGGTGCAGGATTTAAGCTGTCTCAACTAAACCAAGCAAAGCTTGAAAACCCCAGATATTCACACAATTATCAGCCTTGCTTACTCTTACATCTTACTCTCCAAACCATTCTTGCAGTAAGCAAGCAGTTATTCACCCAGGCTCACTATCATCTGGCACTGGAGACATTCCCATGCTCCACAAGGAATCCTAGTTACGCAGACATGGAAACAATCATTTCAGACAGTCTGACTTTTACTGGGACAACCTCTGAGTAGATTCTCTCCTCCCCAGTGTGCTGGGCTCAGCAGCAATCACCTGCTGACTATGCCATGCTGTGCAAGAACCTGAAAGAACAGGATTCTCCTGTACTTTTTGAACAGCTATATCCCACTGCCAATCTCTAGTACACATGGTGGGCTGCATAGATGGTCATAGGATTGACAAGTTTATAGCCATAAACAAATACAAGAATGGAGTAGAAAGGAAGGACATGACATGATCAACGTCTGTGCTGAGTTCTCAGGCCTAAGCTAGGAGGGCTTCTTTTCTGAACAAGGAATTATCATAAGGACATTCAACAAAAACAGCTTTTGGTCAAGTTTAGCTCCCTGAACCAGTTCTTCAAGCTTTCAATTAGTGGAAGGGAGACAGAGAGAAAACTCTGCAATGGGGCAAAGAAAGAACAGACTAAGCTTTATCATCAAACTTGAAGCTCAAAGGAACAGCGTAGTTCTATCAGCTGGGTAACTCTCAATAAAACACCATCAACACCCCCTCACAACTGCAGCTTAACAAAATACAGCATCTCATCAGCTGAGCCACGGCAACTCCCCACACGTGCTCTCAGCCCAAGGCACGAATAAACTGCAAACACAGAGTCACTGCTTTGGCGTACAAGTGACTTAGTTAATGAACTTTTTTTCAGAGTAGAAGAACACCAAGTCCCAACAGGATGATTTGTGTTATCCTAAGAAAGTTTGCCTTAGAACATTTTTTGTATGAATTCTATGAACCCTTAGATGTAGGTGAAACAGCTTCATTTTGTCTGGTAAAAACACCTATCAGATTAGTCCAGCTTCTTGGGAATAGGCAGGCTGTAGTTCAAAAAGTGTTTTCCAGCAAAGACTGCTGTTGGAGTTACTTTGTTGCAAAGCACATGGGGGAATAAAACATTTACAAAAGAAACACTATTCCTAGCCTACAACATTTGAACTCTAATGAATTTAAGAGTATTTCTTTGTAAAATAAACAGTAACCATCTTCACTGATATTTGGAGAATCTATTTTCCTTTTCTGAAAACGTTTGCTTGGCTTCCAGCTTCTGCTGTGTTTGATCTAGCTGCTGTGTGGTCAACTGCTTGCAAAATATGCTGCCATCTTTCCCGTGCATAACCAAATAAGCTGAAGGTACAAGGAGCAGCTGATCACCACTGGTTTGTCTTCAAAGAGAATTATTTTTCATCTTATAGCCTCTCACAGGATCTTTAAAGATAAAGCTGAGGAGAGCTGTACCTTTTAAATAAACACAGTAATACTGAAGAACTTCTCATTAAGTGAACAAGGGCAGCAAATGCAAGATTTCCTAATTCCATACCCAGTTTTAAATAAAAGTCTGATTAGTGTACTACATTCTCTAGCTTACCCTCAAACAAGCTTTTTCAATCAAAACGACGAAAATAAATGACAAGAAGGTCTACTTCTGTAAAATGTTTTTTCCAGAGAGACTGTAGCCAACATATACAATTAAACATGTATTTCAGGGACAGAACCTAAAGCCCCAAAGAACTCTGTATATTCTCCTCTCCATATAGACAATAGGATCATTCTCAGGGCAAAATAAAAAGAGTCAAGTAAGTAATACAGAGCGTATGCATAATGAGTTCAACAAAGCACTTGAAGTGATTAAATAATAATCCTTCCTAAATTCAAAATACTGCCACTAATGCTGCTTAGAAAAAAAGCACTGCTTTTATGTAGCACTACTTCCATTTGGCAGCAGAAACACTAATGACCAAAAAAACACCCATCAACCAAAGAACAACTAAAACCAAACACAAACATATTCTACAAAAACTATGTATCCTCTACAGGTCAGTAATTATGAAGTCAGAACTAAACATTAATTATTTTAGTTGTTTATGACCCAATTCTAACATTGTAATTTCTCATCATCTTCAATATTCCTACTTAGTCACTTTTATGCCCAGAATTTATTAATAGCAATCTGAGCAGCCTTTGTCTTGCCACTATGTTACTAGCTTCTCCTTTGATAATTTATATGAACAAATAATTTTAGCCTGTATACACATATCAAAAGACTTTCAAAAGATAGCTGGGAAAAAAAATAAGTACTATAAGCAAAAATCTCATCCTGTTTGCTTATGCCAAGAACAGGCAAAAGCGCAGCGTCATTTAGCCTTCTGTGTTGACAACTGCAAGGTTTGGATACCATCCGATGAAACCCTGAGATTTGGAAGCAGCATACCACCTTCCAGTTCCTGGCTTCGGCCTTTGCAAGCAAATCATACAAAAAAAACACCCCATACCTAAAAAGTAACATTTTTTTCCAGTGACTTAGTTTTCAGACAAATCCACGCCCTGCTCTATTTCACCATACAGCTATAGAAGCATTTCAGCTGCTTCAAGAAGCAGGTACGGTCAAAATTGCTTTTTTCAGCAGTAGATAGGCCCAGATTATCCAGAATTCAGACAAACGACAAGGTGAAAAACCTAGTGAAGTAGAGAAGATTTTATTTACCCCAACCAGAACCAGGACTAACTGAACATCAGAAGGAATAGAGTTGAGCAGCAAAAGAAAGTCTCATTCAGAATCAGTAGCTTAAAAAGGCCTTCAAGACATCAGAGAAACAACAGTAGTAGATTTCAGTTGCAAGAGACAGGAAAGAACATCTTATAAAATGCTTTAGTGCAGAGGGGAAAAAAGCCACTACCTTTTTCACACAAAACAGAGCAATGTCAAAGTACAAATAAAACATTATAAAGTTTTGAATACGTGTAACACATATATGTTGCAATCTAGCTACACTAGCTTAACTGTCATATTTACTGGGTTTATTGTAGTTTGGTTGCTTGTTGGGGTTTTTTGTTTGGTTGGTTTTGGGTTTTTTTAAAGAATACAAAATTTTTGGGCAGCATGGTTCTTTCCAACTATTTCTTAGCACATTTTGGTCAGCCAACAGGGGCAGACCCAGAGGCTGGGCATTAGAGCACAAGAATTCCAGGTCCAAAGCAGCGG